CCCCCCCCCCCCCCCCCCGGTCGAGTGTCGCGGGAAATTGAATAAAACGCAAATCGAGCCTCACCTCGGCCTCGTTCTCTTTGTAAGACCAGAAGTCAATTTGCCTGAGTGCCTCCAGCTGGTTCTCCAACGGGTCGCTGCTATTGCCTTTGGCCGGGCCGTTTCGCAGACTGGTGTCCTTCTTCCACGCGTAGATCGGTCGCTCGAGGCCCACTTGCATCTGATTACCCGTCCGCTCCTGTTCGTCCGCGTGGCCGTTTTCGCTCCTTGGGTCGTCTTCGTTCTTTCTCCACTCGTTTCCGGTGTACTTGGGCGAAGAAACCGCGGACACCGCGACGAACGCGTTTTTTGACTTGGACGAGGTCGCGTCGGCCGTGGTGCCGGGCTTCGAGATAGGCATCGCGGTCACTCGGTGATACGCGAACTGTTTCCATTTCGCCGGCCAGGTGCCCGTCGAGCTTGTCTTCCCGTAACTCCACTCGTCGTTGATCTTCTGCTGCCACGGGGACAGCTCGTTGCCTTTCGCCGTCCAGTTGTTCTGCTCGTTGGACTTCTTCGTCCAGGAATCCGCGGGATCCTCCTCCTTGGCCTTCACCGGCCACGGATCGTCGTTGAACTTGGACACGTTGTCCAAGTTGGTCTTCGACGTCCACGATTCGTTGGACTTGGTCGACCAGGAGCCGCTTCTCGTCGCCCAGGAACTCTTGTCCCCCATCTTGGACATCCACGAGGCGGACTCTGGCTTGGACAACCACTCTCCTTTCACCTTCCACGAGTCGGAGTTGCCCCCCTTGGCTTTCGCGAACCACGAGCCCGGTTTGCTCGACTTCTCGGACCAGAGTTCCGGGATGTTTGCCTTCTCCTCGGGCCAGAGAGTTATACTCTGGGATTGGTCCATCCAGGAATCGTTGGCTCTCTCGGGCCAAGATCCCTTGCCCGTCCATTTGGCGTCGGTGTTCGACCTTCCAAGCGGCTTGGAGGACCACCTTTGAGAACTATTCTCGTCGGCAGGCTCTATCGGTTTGATCTGGTACGGCTTCCAAGTGGATTGATCGGCCGCCATTACCCAGGCACCGACCGATTGGATCTTGGGCAAAGCATGGGCTTCCTCGCTCCACGAATTCTTCCCCTCGTACTTTCTTCTCCAAGCGACCGGATCATCCCTCTGCATATTCTCCGCCTTCATCCAATCATCCTTCGAAACCTTGGAATCCGACAGTATCGCCCACGGTTTCATCGACTCCCCGGATCTCGTCTTGTAGTCGCTAAAGTTGCTTCTGTCGTCGTACGACTTGTGCCTGGCAGCCTCGTTCGAAGAGGACAGTTTCTCCTCTTCCTCCTCCTCCTTCGACGAGAACAATCTGCCCTGCTTCTCGTCCTTCGGTTTCCCCTCGTTGTTCGACTTCTCGACTTCTTTTTTCGACCAGCCGGCGCCGCTCTGCTTGTCCAAGCCCAATTTCTTCACCAAGTCGGCATTCGGATTGTACGACTTGCCGTTCTCGTCTTTCGGCCACGGTTTCGCGCCCGGTAGCTTGTGAGGCCACGTGGCTGGATCAGAGGTCAGGCTGTTCCATGTTTTCATGGTTATCTGAGGCAGCACGACTTTCTCCTTTTTCTCCTGTTTCGCGGATGATCTGTCGTTCGATTCGGAGCGATTCTTGCTCTTCTCCCAGACGCCGTTCGCCTGATCGCGGTCGTACAATTTCGCGAGCCTCTCTCCTTGTTGCCACGAGGGCGCAACTTTCACAGGTTTCTCTGCGGGCCAGTTGGGCCTGTCTCTGTTCCACGAGTGTTGGACTCGTTGCTGTTGCCACATTTTCTCGGCTTCGGCTTCCTGCTCGTTGTCCAACACCGACCAATAGTTCTTCTCAATCGGTAGAAAGCTACCGCGTTGCGACCAATAGCTGGCCTCGTTCGAGCTTGGTTGTCTCCAAGACCATTTCCCAGTGGGAACAGGCAACAGAGGACGTTCCTCGGCTCTCCAGGGTGGGTTGTATCCGTAGGAGGACAGGTCCGGCCAACTTTTGCTCAACGCGAAATCTCGCGATCTTGGCTCGTACTCCTCACTGGCGGGAAATCCATCGGACTGCACGTTGAAGTCGCTCGGGTACTCCTCCTCGCGTCTTCGTAAGAACTCTCGCGACGCTGGCGACAGCTGATTGTATCGCAGTCGGCGGTACGTTTCCGGTATGTCGTAGTCGGCCACGCGTTCTGCGTCTGAAAGATCAGAGAGTGCTCGAGCGCTTTCGGTTCCAAAGGATTCGAAATTTCAATCGTTCGTTCAAAAAATTCTTAAACAAGGAGGAAAGGAATTCAATTTTACATTGAAAGGTATTCGAAACTTCATTGTTTTGTTGGAATACCCCCAAAAAAACAGAGCAAAGCAATACGTCGTTTGAGCAAAAGGTTGCTGCTAAATTGGAAATTAAAAATTGTTTACACAGAATAATACAAGCAAGAAGTAAAACGAGAGAAGTAATAAATTTTACACCGAGAAGCATTCGAAACTTGATTGTTTCGCTAGAATATCCCAAAGACAGAAAATTAAAAATTGCTCATACAGAATAATACAAAGTAATAAGTAAATCGATGAAAGGACTGAATTTCGCGTTATTTTTTACACCAGAGGTGGCTAACTGGCGGCGCCTTTACCCCCACTTTCCTGATCGTTAGCGCTATCCCCTCCACTGCATCTCCCCACTGCGTTGTCACGGCCACGACACGTATACATATAAAGTGTTTTCTTTACCGCAGCTGCTGAAGTTAAAGAAAAATAGGGAACTCAAATGACTTGACCCACTCGGTCTACTCACCTGTAGGCCTGTCGTACACGTTCGCGAACTCTGTGTGCGGGTTGCTACGCGTAGCGACCTTGCCAAACCGCATCGGCCTCTGATTCCCAAGTTCGGCAGCCTCGTGCTCCCTCAGTATTGGCTTTCGATCGTAGGGGAAAGACTTGCCGCTGCTTTTCGACTTGTTCTGTTCGATCAGCTCTCTGATGGAGGGCAAGCCTCTGGGACTCTGCGAGACGCTGGCGTAACGCTGGCTTGCGGTTTTTTCGCTTTCACCGTGGAGATCCTGTTGCCAGGGCGGGCCAAAGAGCCTCTCGGCCACCAGACGCCACTGGACCGGCGTCGTTTGCCAGGGCGTCTCTGTGGTGGTCAACAGCGAAGGCGTCGCCGGCACGGACGTTAACGTGCTCGTGATGTAACGATGCCTCGGCTTCTTCTTCTTCTTCTTCAACTTCTTGCGAGACTTTCTCGAATCGTTTGATGATGCCGACGTGGTCGGGAACAGAGTGGAGGTAGACTCGTAGCCTCGTTTGGCCGGGTCCAACTCGTTCCCGGACAGCTTCAGCTCGTTCTCCGTGTTCGCTGTCGAAGAGAGAGATCATAGTAGTCGCTTTCACCCCGCCTGTTCGCGTTTTTCTTTGATTAAAATTGTCCGTGTCTTTTAAGATACAATTAATTTTTTATTCTTTAACGTTTCTACGAAGTTAAAATTATGATTATATGCACAACAAAGTAATTACGGAATGAACGTTTTCTGTGTATTATTTGCTTAATCGCAGCAGTACACGCTGAAACGGGAGTATTCACGTGGGATGTTCGTGGATTCCCAGTGAAGAGTAACATTTATTAACCACAATGCAGGCGTACGTGTGTGTTTTACGTAGATGCTACTGAAATAACATTAATACTATATAATACGCACAGAGTGTATCTCGAAGTTCATCCAATGACGTAAAAAGAAGAGAAAAATTACGTAAAATTCGACACCAAAAACGCTTTATCACAGAGTTGAACGAATATTGTACGTACGAAATATGTGATGAATTTTCCATTTCGCTTTTCTCATGTAACGATAATTTTCGTACCATTAATTACAATAATAACATATAATATCGATGATTTTCGTATCATTAATTATAACAATTATGTATAATATATCAATTCGTATCATTAATTATAATAACCATAAAACATCAAGGAATAATTCCGTCAAGCTTGAATTAATAACTATAATGTTTTCTGAAATGAATTTCAATGAAATTACATTTTTAATTTTTTTGCATTAGTTCTCCATGTGGAGCTCTTTTGTTGAACAAATCTTTTGTTTTAAAGTACTTCGTAAACAAAAAAAAAAACCGTAAAGAAAAATGCCACTTCATGCATGTAATAGTTGTTTATAACTCTGTAACAAGGCGAACAGTTTCCTGGCAAACTTTATATTACATTTCTTTCTTCTTTTTGTGTGTACATCAAGCCCTCGTAGTTTCGTCGTTTAAGTTCGGGACACCTTGTATACCGGGTGAGTCGCCTAAGAAGTCACTCGAGGTTGAAATATTTTCAAAACGATTAATTATTCCAAAGAATGTTTTGAACAAAAGTTGGAAGATTTCGAAAGGGGCATTAAGTGATGTAATTAATATTTTTTAATGTTGATGCATAAAAGTTAAATTTGTTTCTTTTTTTTTTTTTAATGAAATCGTACATTTTTTAATACACTATTCGATTCAGCTCGTCATTCTCTATAAAAAATTTGTAACGAAAAACCATTTCAGTCCAGAAGATATTTTAATTAAAATAATTCGGAGTATCGAATTTATACGTAACAGCAGCGCAACTAACAACAGGAGATTGTGTAACGTTTTGTTAATTATTTGTTGCGACTAGAGTAAAATAAATGTTTGTTTCACTCTGTTACAAGATGTGCTGAAACACATTTTTTACATTCTCCGATGATTCGTTGACACACATCTTAAAATAAATCGAAATCATTTAACTTTTGTCTAAAAACTTGTTTTTTTTTGGATGTAATTAATCGTTTCGAAAATATTCCAGCTTCTAAAGTCTTATTGTTAGTTAGATAACTCGATCTGTATACAGACGTATGCGAATATTAACTCTATTCATGGTTGAACGAATTACCCATAATTAATTATCAAGTCGGTCATTCCGTTGAATCCCACACATGTACATATGTACTGCCAGCTTAACCGGTTGCTTTGTAATATCCAGTCGCGCTCGTGGACATGAATTTATAGTTTCAAATTGTAGTTCTACAATTCGAATTTGTAATTTTTCAAGTGAACAATTCTAGGAAATATTTCTACAATTCGAATTTGTAATCTTCGAATTTTAAATTTAAATTCTTTCGATCGAAGATCAGTAGGTAATTGTGTTGCAATTACATGTAAATGTATATGTATACAACGTGATGTAATAAACTATAGTAACCAAGTTTAAAATTTTCTTTTTTTTTTTTGCATTGTACTCTACTCATCACGAAGGTAAAACTTTCCCAAGGAACCAAATAGTTATTTTGAAAAATGGCAGAGAAGTTTCTTAATCGAACGAACACATGCGTTCTAACAGCGACATTATGGTTCTGAACGCGTAGATAGTTCTCACGCTAATGGTAGTTATGCCATAGCGTGAGTCTATATAATCAACTAATAAAATTAACTATTAACGTTATTGGAAATATAAAATAGACATCCACGTGGCCAGGACCATAAAGTCGCTGTTAGAACCCACGCCTCCGTAGTGTTAAATGATGAAGAAGCATTTTTTGCCATTTTTCAAGTGAACAATTCTAGGAAATATTTCTACAATTCGAATTTGTAATCTTCGAATTTTAAATTTAAATTCTTTCGATCGAAGATCAGTAGGTAATTGTGTTGCAATTACATGTAAATGTATATGTATACAACGTGATGTAATAAACTATATGTATATGTATACAACGTGATGTAATAAACTAGATGTAATAAACTATAGTAACCAAGTTTAAAATTTTTTTTTTGCATTGTACTCTACTCATCACGAAGGTAAAACTTTCCCAAGG